TTCCGTCTTTGCTGGAAATGCCAAACCGACAGGAATTCTGTCACCACAACAGACATTCATCTTGACAATGTACCAAGCTGTTCTGTTGAGTGTCACGCTGACCTCTGACTGATGATGCTCAGGACCATTGATGTTTTTGTTCTATTTGGTTTCGGTAAAAAGTGAAAACCCTAAGAAACATAGTCCATGACCGCTTTTACATCCCATCCGCATTTTCGATGAGGCCATGGTTTGTGCGTTTGCTGCAGTCACATCGACCCTCCTCTTCCTCGTCCTGCAAATGGCCCTGTCTGCAGGGAGCACCCATGCTAGTGGCCACGCCCATCCATCCGGGCCTGCGTGCTGTTCTCTCTCATCACATCCCAAGTCTGCCCATCACGGCTGGTGGAATGGAGTTATTTCTGAACCGTGTGCCTGCTGTTTATTCTCGAAGGCAAGCAGAGGCTGCAGGGTGTGGTTGCCTATGGTAGGTGTGTCGAGGGACACGCCTTGTGTCACCCTGGCTCCTAACCACCATCAGAGCTGTGCGTGCCACTGCACTGCCACACGGTGTGTTCCAAGGCGAAGAGTCTGCGGTATCCCTGCCCTAATAACTTGATTTCAAATGGGTCCAGCAGATTGGCACTGGCCTGTCTTAATCTGGGCTACGCTAGTAATTCATCTCACAAGGTGTGTTGTGACGACGTACGTCCTCCACACACACAGGCATGTTTATTTGAACTAACAAACGAAATGAGAGCCTTGACAAGCCAGCCTGGCCTGGCTGATGGCTGTGTGAGGGGCCCGCACCACTCAGGTGAGCTGGTGCTCGTCTTCCCTCAAATGAACTCATCTGCAGCTTCCAGGTTTGGCGGGGAAACCGTGAGGCTGTTACGAGAGGGAAGCTATGCAGGCAAAAGTGTACTGAGATTTACAGCACTTGGTTTCCCTCGCCTTTCTCAGTACATGGGGTTTTACAAGGTGCCCTTACATAGGAAAATATTGGGTACACGTCCCAGTCATGTGATGTCACTGTAAATCCTTTTAGCTAAATTTCTGGAACCTGAGAGTGAATGACTGCCGGCTGGGTGCTGGGTGGGGATGCACCACCCACCGGCAGGTGGTTTACTGTGGTCTTCGAGANAAGGCTGCTCGGCCGGGCAGGCGCGCCCACCCCTGCAGCTCTTGTTACAAATCAAAGTGTTCCGTGAGGTCCAAGGTCATGGTGCGTGCCCAAGCCGTCCCCGCAGCCCCCGGTACGTGTGCGGGTCCTCCTCCCACAGGAGGCCGGCGACAGCCATGGCGGGGGCCCTGGGCACACACCTGCTCCCTGGCCGCAGTCAGGCCCTGGATCAGCTCCTCGGACTTCTGGTAGTGGTCCCTCTCGACGCTGGCACAGCGGTGCTGCCAGTCCAGGACCAGCTGCACCTTCTCGCGCTCCAGGCTCTGCTCCCTTTCTGCCGCCAGAGACAGCTGCTGCTGGTACCTGGGGCGTCACAACCACAACGCGTTCACGTTTTCCTCGGCAGTAACACAAGCCATGGGGTATGGGGCTGCAGTCCCTGGGGAGGGTGAAGAGCCGAGGCAGGACAGGAAAGCCCTGGGCAAGAGCCAGACGCTCACGGAGGGCCGCTGGGGGCTTCTGCACGGCCGCCCCTGAGCGTGGCAGCGGTAACAGGATGGGATGGTTGCTCGTGGGATCTACAAGCCTCCTGTAGATGGTGTTCTACAAGCCTCCCTCCCGTCCACTGGCCTCGAGGAAACAGCTGCTGGGCTGTGAGGGCCATGCGGCCGGGACCCAAGGGCGCCTCTAGGGCTGAGAGCAACCCCGGGCACATCCAGTAAGGAAGCGGAGACCCAGCCCCACAGCCACTGGACATGACCTCTCAGGTAACCTGAGTGAGCCGGGAAGGGGGCTGCAGCCCCAGAGGACAGGGTAGCCTGGCAACACCTGGGTTTCAGGCCTCTGAGGCCCTGAGCAGGGATCTACTGAGCTGTGCCTGGACCCCTGAGCACAGAATCAGAAACAAATGGGGTTGATTAAAGCATTAAGTGTGTGGTGATTTGTGACAGGACAACAATAAAGTAATACACAACAGGTCTAAAACCCAGAGGCACCGCGATTTGCAGTCTGGTATCCTGAACCCAGCTACGTCACCATTCACACAAGAAGGCGGAAAAGACACAGAGCTTGTCACATACGGACGGACTCCTTCTGAAGAGAAACGAGAGGACACAGCAGGACAGGGCTCCTCGGCCACAGAAACAGAGGGATGGAGTCAGCAGAGAAATACTC